TATATATATATATATATATATATATATATAGCATAATTAGCATTGCAATTAGGGTTTGTCATTATATCATAGTTCATATAAATGTCAAGCATTTTCGAGGGTACGAATGCTATTTTAAGATCACTTAGAAATCCAGCGTTATGCATTTAAAGATGATTTCTGAAACTTAGGCATTAACTTTGGAGAGGTGTCTTACAAATCCCCTTTACATGTTGGTGGTAATTCTTTGATCCAGGCTATTTGAAATGCATGTCATATTTATTAGTATCATTACTGTTATTGACCATTGAGAAAGTCACTGAAACACTGAAGCTATCCCCCGGCACGCCCACCCAGACCACTCAGAGGCCAGCAGATCAGGGGGCCTTTTCGAAGCTGCCCGCCGCGGTGCCTGTGTCCTTCTGTACACGCGACAGGTGACAAGACCCCATGCAGCGCAGCTAATTGCTGCAGTGCTATGTCCCTTGCTGCTGGCAGTAGGCAGCGTGTTGATGCTTGACAGGTTTTAACACTGTGCTTTCCTCTCTCTCGCTCTCTACCTCTGCCCCCCCCACTGTCTGTCACGTTTTACCGCTTGTTCTCTTTCACCCCCTCCCCCCCAAATCAGCGCTCCCAGTGACACACATGCATGCATGATCCTGACCTGCCTCCTTTGTGCTCGGCTACTCTGTCAGTCTAAGGGGGCTGGACGCACACCGTTAGCGGTCTCTCGCAGGAAGTGGCCGCGAGGCTTGTCTGTGACCGTCGTGTCACATTCTGAGTCGGCCCTCTGTCTCCAGTGGCCTCCAGCTGTTCCTGTCACTGTCTAGCACCAATACACGCAGCCAGGCGGCGAATCCGAAGGGCCGAATTCGCTGCATAAACACAAAACTACACTAAGTGGATGCCGTGATTTCCTCAGTATTAGTGTCTCCAGGTAAAGACCAGCATATCAAAGGCATTAAGTGAAGATTAGACTTTTACCAGGACTTAGAATGGTCTGCTGTATTGTAATGAAGTTAAACTTTGTCTGTGTGCATTGGATAGGAGTGTAAAATGTAGCCATTTTTACTTGGTATGGAAGTAGTGAATGGTAAATTTATTCTACTGTCTACTCAAAAGAGTCCCTGAATCTCAGGGAAATGGATAGATGTAGCCATGTCTTCTGGAGCAGAGTGCAGGGAAGCAAGGAAGGGGAAAAAAAAGATGTGAGCGATGAAAATCCTGGAGAGAGTGTAATTGGAATAGACTTACAGCAGAAACATCTGAGGCTGAAACTGGTTATAGCTGGTTACAGCAGAAAAACTGGGAACTGAGAGAGTGCTCATCAGCTTTGAATGACGTCTGAGACCAAACTGAGTTCCTGGCCCCAGCCAATCAGGGAACAGGGCTTCATAGGCCAGAGAACTGCAGTCAGTACTCACTGACTGTTAGGTGTAATGCACAGTAAATAGTAGATAGACACTTAGATAATGTAGATGTATGGATTGCAATGGTTTCTCCTTCTCATGCAAGAGGTGATTGCATGTTTTTATAATAAAGGAAGCGCTTGTGGACAATTGTAAGGAACACGAGGTTCCATTAAATAAGCCAGAGCATTTAAAAAATCCCTGTATTTCAGCAGGAGTAATTTGCATTCAGTCTGGAACTGTTCAAGCTGCCAGGACCTCAATATTATGCTCAAAGTTCAATAATAATATGAGGATGTTCTTCAGATGATGGGGAAACCGTAACCACTGTGTTTTGCTGAAAGAACTGCTGTACTGCTCTGCGAACCGGATTGTAAGAATGTCTTAAAGCCTTTTTTTGGCTCTGCACCACTGCAGCCATGATGTGTGATTGAACCTTATTTCTTTGATTAACTCTTTTTTGCCAAGTTGATTGTGTAACCTGTATTCCAGAGTGCAGGTTCAAGTGAAAGCAGAAGGTTCTCTTCAATACCCTTCAAGGCCACTCTTTAGGGAGAGAAATTAATACAGCAACAAAATGCAGCTTTTACTTTCTCCATATATTTCAGGGATATACCCCTAATACCCCTAGGTGCTGATTGCTCATATCTGGATATTGGACTTTTCACTTATCTTTTCACATGAAACAGTATTAATTCATGGAGGAGCATTAGAAAACTATGCTGTGGACTGTGTTAAAAAAAAAAAAAAAAAAAAAAAAGGTTGAGTATAGATGCGGGTGAGAAAATCCTTCAGAACGTGGGATTATGCAGCATTCTGATCACATTACTTGAGAAAATAAGCTTAATGTCTGACTGGCTTCAGCCGTTGCATCTACCCTCTGTGTGAGTGTGTGCGTGCATACGTGCATGCTTGCTTGTGTTGCGGGGGTCATGTATGTATTAAACCTGCTATTTTGGTGTTGTGGGGACAATTTTTTTGGTTCCCACAAGGGGCAACTCAATTTTTAAAAAATCTGTGACTCCGATCAAAAAAATAAAAATGCCACAATCTCGTATTTTGTTTGGTTACTGGTGGTTAAGTTTAGGGTTGGGTTAGGGTTAGGGTTAGGGCTATCATGGTTAGGGTTAGGGTTATGCCCGTAGGTGTGACTGGAGAGTTCCCACAATGATAGGAATATATGCACTGATGTGTGTGTGCCTGCTGCAGTTACTCCAGTTTCCTCCCACAGCCCAAAGACTTGCAGTTAGGAAAGCTGGCATCTCTAAATTGCCCATTTGCCCAGACTGTGTGTGCCCTGTGATGGACTGACATTCCATTCAGGGTGTCCCCCAGCCACACGCCCTGTGCTGCGTGGGATTGGCTCCAGGCCCCCCATGTGACCCTGAAAGGAATAAGCCATTGGAAGATGGACGGGCTTCCTAAGTTTGCTATGTGCTGCTTACCCCATGGACACTGCTGTTTCCTCAGACATTCAAGTCCCACTTCCACCATGTGCAGTTCGCATGATTTCCCAGTGGCACGCACAGTTCCTCCCAGACTCCTGACATGTGGTTAGACCAATTTCCATCTCTAAATCTGCCATAGTGTGTATGTGCCCTGCAATGGGCTCGCATCCTGTCCAGCCCAGCCTTTTGCCCTGCGCTGCCTGGGAAAGGCTCCAGATTCAGGATATGTGGTTGGAAAATGGCAGGGTGGGTGTTTGCCCCCATACCATTCCCACGTCATAATTTATCATTAACAAAAGGTGAAACGGTCCTGTTTTTCGGCCCGGGGTCGTAGAAGTACCACATGAGAGGAGAGTGCTATGAGTTTGCTCCTTATTTAACTTGTTTAAAATAATAACAAATAATAGTCAAAGACATAGTGTGAAACAAATGTGCCCTTGTGAATTCTGAGAGGGGAGCCAAAATAATCATGCCTTTCCAGTAGGTATGTGATTTTGGGCTTTATGACCATTAAGTAGAAGGACCCAAACACGGCCGGCTTTGAAACTCTAACGTATTCTCTTAAAATATGTGAAATGTTTCTCTGAAAGTTAATCACTCTGGGGTTTAAAGTTCACTGCCGTTTTTATGAAAATGCTGAAGTACTCGAGGATTGAATAGCGGAGGGCTTTCCAGTTCTTTTTGCCGCAGATCATCGTGGACCTTCACATAGGCAACAGCAAGCAGTTTTTTTATGATCAGGCTCCAGTGAATAACCTCTATTTTGTTGTGTTGTTTATTTATTTATTTTTTAATAGAGAGATTTCACCCGACGGGAGGAGCTCCAGCAAACGGACGTTGAGCGATGGCTGGGCTTCATCACCTTCCTCTGTGAGGTTTTCGGGATCATGAGGAGCAGTGCCGGCGAACCCTTCAGGGTCCTGGTGTGCCCGATCTACACCTGTCTCAGGGAGGTCAGTGATCTCTAATCCCATCTACACCTGTCTCAGGGAGGTCACTGACCTCTAATCCCATCTACACCTGTCTCAGGGAGGTCACTGACCTCTAATCCCATCTATACCTGTCTGAGGGAGGTCACTGACCTCTAATCCAATCTACATCTATCTGAGGGAGGTTAGTGACCTCTAATCCCATCTACACCTGTCTGAGGGAGGTTAGTGACCTCTAATCCCATCTACACCTGTCTGAGGGAGGTTAGTGACCTCTAATCCTGTCTACACCTGTGTACATATCTGTCTCTACACTGCCACAGATATGACATCGCTGTCATACATGGGGACCCATCGACAAGCCACAGACGTAAAATCCTGTCTCGGGGGTGGGGGGTGAAGTTGAGATAAGCAAATGATTAATTTGGTGTCTGCTGTGAACCGCTTGTTTGTTTTTTAGTTGAGTTTTTCTTTTGTGTAAAGAGTAAATGAGTAATTTATCAAATGGGGTCAAGCGACAGAACTGAATGACGAATTAACTGAATGACAGCTTCCAAGCTTATGTGAAAGGAGGCTTGATTTCAGTACACCAGCTTTGATATAAAGGTCTGAATAACATGTGATTAATATGATCAAGCTGTTTTAATCTTTAATCGGTGTGTAAATATGAAAGGTGACTAATTGAGTACCACTCAAATGGGTAAGTTTACTTTGTTTCAGGAAAACAAAAATACATTACAGGTTTCTAATGTTAAAAGATAAATATGCAATTGTTAATAACATGCAGTTAGTAAAATGCTAGTAGCTTTTGGGTGACGTGCTTGGTGTTTTAAGAATTTTATAACTGAGAGCTGGTCTCTCCTGTATATTTTTTTCTGTAGATCCATTAGGGTCTGTTGTTAGCCATATCTGCAGTGCTTTAATTACGGACTTCCTGCTGCACACAGACCCATTGTGTGTATGTATGTTACACAAGAGCTTTTCCTAGTACTACATGTGTTTTTTCCTATGTGCCTCTAGTTCGGAAGTCTGTCCCTCTATAGTGTGAAGCCTTAAGCACACATGCTGGCCCGCATGCAGAGGACGGCTGTTTCCTTTTAGTCTTAAAGGGATGTTTACCACTGCACTCCTCAAACCTGCATCTACATAGTCTTAAAGGGATGTTTACCACTGCACTCCTTAAACCTGCATCTACATACATTTTAATTCATTTTTGCAGCTGCTTTCATCCAAAGCGACATACATTTTTCTAGAATGCCGGGACAGCCAGTTGAAGTTAAAGGTCTTGCTCAAGGCTCCAACGATGAAATCACAGACTTGGGATGTGAACCAGTAACCTTCCGATCACAGGCAAAATTCTAATTAGTGTAGCCACACACTCTCATGTACCTCCATACAGCCCATTCTTTGAGAAATGCTTCAGTTTCAGTCCCTGGTCATTTGGATTTATAACTATTGCAGTTATAAATCTAAGCCTGGCAGAAAGAGGTTACAGATGTAAAATCCTAGAGTGGGGGGGTACCAGTAAAGACTGGAATGATGGTAAAAGTAGGAGTATGTTGTAATGAAGTGGTCCGAAGAGACAGCACTCGGGTGGTCGAGAGAGTTTAGTCTCTGAGCACCCCCCCCCACCCCCCAGCTACCGCAGACATATACAGACTGAGCAGAGACGTTTAAAAATGGCATAATGGATTGAGCAGAAAGAGGTTAATTGGGTAATCGGAGAGCAAAATCATCTGTGGCAGATCAGGCATCTGTTGTGAGGCAGCCTTCAGTGATTTGCATGGCTGGCCTCTGTCCTCCTGAATGTGGCTTGTGAGCTGGGGACCATGCCGAGCCAGGGGCGGGGCCACTGGCCCCAGATGAAAGCTGATTGGCCCTGGGAGTGCCCTCTCCTCTGTCAATCACCGATTCAAAATATATTATTGGCTAATGCTAAGGTTGATCCCTCTGTATGAATTATGGCTCCTATTATCCCTCCCCCCCCACCCCACTTAAAAAATTCTAGAATCGCCCTCCTGTGCAGAGCAGTCGATCTCTGGGGAATCTGGCTGACGTGACTCATGTATTTACATCTGGCTTTCAGTGGTGACATCCTGTAACTGGCCCCTCGTGTACACAAATAGGAGCGAGATCTGTGTGGTCCGCACTTGGCGTGGCTCAAATGCGCCACTGGGGAACCGGCGAGCATTTTACTCCTTTGAAGTGTCTGTAGCATTTTCTGGGCTTTGGGGATGCGTGAAAGGCCTTTCCCTTTTCACTCCATGCTTGCTCTGTCTGTTACTTTTACCGATGTAATATGTGGACCCTTTAAGGCGCCCACGACATGACAGACCTGCCCACGCCTCTCGCTTCAGAACATCCTGGCTACGTCGTACAGACGAGTCACTGCTTTCGCGGCCACCTCCCTTTACCGGCTGCGTTGCGTTTTTGTTTTTTGTTTTTTTGACTTTTTAAAATACCGCCCCCTCAGCTCTGAGGCATGCGGCGACCCCCACAAACAAACGCCCGCGTGAAACACCCACGCTCTCCAAGATTACAGGGAATTTAGAAGTACGAGCTCGACGATCCTCCGCATTCCCGTGCACGTTGCCGCTGCACGCTGAAGGAACCCTGAAATGAGAGGGTGAAAAGGGAATGACACCCAGTGCCTCACGACGCTGAAGTAAGCACATGGAGACCATCCAGCGCCTCTGCGGGACGTAGCAGACGAGGCACCCCCCTGCTGTGCTGGTATGCTTTGTAGTCGTAGTGTGTAAATACATAAATGTATGTTAAAGAAACACACACACACACTGCAGTGGAATTTTGGGTGCAGACTCAGGAAAAGGGCCATTGTTTGAGTACTTGACACTAAATCCTTTAGATCGTTTCCTTGCAGCGGATTCGCTCTCGATAATGAAGTCCCCCGCAGGACTGTGAAACATAATCCCTTTTACATTTATTCTTAAGCAAAAATAAAATGTATGTATTTTGTCAATCATGAATGCTGTTGCACCCCCCAACACACACACACACACACACACACACACACGTATGTCAAATAATAGTTTGACACTTATCACTGTTTGACCCAAGTTCTACACGGACGTGGCGATGGCTGTATCACTGCTGCCGGCCACCCAGGCATCAAGTGACCACCTTGCTGCCTGGCTCTCATTTCATTGGCTGGCAGTTTCAATCCCCCATAATGCACCTCCACAACTCAAACCACAGGCTTTATTCCCCACAGCCTGGAGACCCCAAAGCCACACCTCTTCCACCTCTATCCAGTTACTGGGATGCTAATTAAAGCCATTACAGTGGTCTACAGTACTGTTCCTGACATTCTCTTCATGCTTAAGTCTTTAGCTGTGGGAGAGGGGAGACTTCTTAGGAGATTATCAGTGGTCATATGACCTGTATCGCCCTGTCAGTGACAGAGGTGCGTAGTTCAAACCAAGGTTTTGTTTCAACCAACCAGCTGAGTACTCTGTGACTGTGACTCTTTATACTCAGCAGGTGTGGTTGAAACAAAATCTTGGACTGGATTTTGGCTTTCTGGAGCTGAACTGTCCATCTCTGCTCGGTGACGGTGGTTGCAACTCCAGTTCATGGAATCAATGGAGATAAAAAGCAATAAGGGCGACAGGAAGGTCAAAGATGAGGATGCATCACACTTGTCACACTTCTCTGCAGAACACTCCGTGTAGACCGGGGTGGGGGTGGGGGGAGGGGATGTCGACGCAACAGTGGGGGAGAATATGCTGCTCCAAAGAGCTGCAAACATTATTACCGAAACATCATTAATAATAATTTTAGGCATTGCTATGAGTATTAATACTGCCATGTATTTATCACTCTTTAATGCGTAAGGATTGAGCAGTCCTACCTAGCATTAAATATAAATAAATTGAGATTATTTAAAAATCAAATGAACACATAATAAACACATCAGGATGTTTTTACCCACTGCCAAACACACTTCCTATTACTTGTATAAAGTCTTCTTTCTGTTATTCTGGTGCTGACTGTTATATGAGAGTAGTGGACGTTTCGTATAATAAATTATAATTTAATTAATAATTAAACTGAACCTCGGGGACGATTTATTTTTGTATGCCATATTATGGGATGTGGTGGGGGGGCGGGGTTTGGCTGGTGAGGTGCTGATTTTACTGTGTCTGTGAAATACCAGTTGCGGGTGGAAACAATAAACGATCTGACTGCATTAGTCACAGACATTGATTTTTTTTATTTTACACACTTGCCCACTATACAGCTTCTCTAGTTGGCGGTATTATGTACTTTTATCTAGATGTGGGTATTAACTAATCTTGCATGTGGTTTAATTGGTAAAGGTGTTTTCCCTGGCTAGGATTTACAACTCAAATCCCGGTTTGGACTGTGCCATTAAACAGTTGTGACTGGTCTGTCCCAGGGGAAATAAATACTCCTGACTGCAGAGCATGAGAGCATTTGGATCTGGTATCACGGCCACAAATCCAGTGACAGCTCACCAGCCATTTGTCCCTTCGACGCGTATCTGTCTCTCACCCCGAGGCCTGTAGCGTAGGCAGGATTCACGGGGCCGCGGATCCGATTGCCTCAGCTGGCAGGAGTGCAATCAGGGCACACAGCAGACCCTAAAAGCTACTAATGGCCACGTTGAAAAATGCTCAAACGTTTGTACAGCCGAAGAAATCAAACGTAAGAAAAGCGAACCCCCTTGAAATGAGCAGATCTCATGTTTGTTGCGCAAAATATCAGTATGTATTAAAAAATAAAACATATGGTGGAAAAGACCAGAAACTATGACTAATTTGGTTTCTGAAGAAGGAATTATGACCAAGTGGTGAGTGTGAGGAGAAAAAAGGACACAGAAGCTGCTTTGCACCAGCTACTTGATTTTTCGACTAAAAGTGCGAAATACAAAAAACAGCTAACGCCATTCTAACGTCATTCTAACGTCACTGAGCCACGACACTGCATATCTTACAAGGAACGTAGGCACTAACTGTGCTGTTAGCTTGGAATGTCTCTGGTTAGATGTTTTCACAGATAAAGATCTGGACAGTTATTGCCCGTATTATATATAGTTTTTACTTGACTTCAAAACTATGAATGAAGTCATTCATGACAAAATAAAGTAAATGACAAACGGAAAAAAGCCCAGTAAACTGTTTAATGTAAAACAAACCAAAAAAAAAGTTTTCTCATAATAATATTTGTAATGCATATTGAGGTTTTCTCATCAAATTCCATGTCTGCATGCAGTAAATATTTTGTAGCAGAGTCTTCATGGGTGAAGCCACTCAGTGTGTGTGATAATGAAAGTATTATAAAACCCAGACGGGAAGCTATCAGAATTTGGAGTCATAACAAATTACACTGTAATTCTTAATGGCGGTGTTGCTTATGACGGTTAGATTGCATAGACAGATATTGTCTGTGTCTATTATTGAATTTGATTATATTCCATGACAGAATTGCCCTCATAGAACAAAGAAGAATGCCTTCACCCCCTGCCCCACCCACGAGACAGTTCTGCGATAAGTGTCTGCTGTTGCTTTATAAAGTCGATAGCTATCTGTCCATAGACGCCAAGGTTCCACAAACATGTCATCACAAAGGGAGGATAGATAGGATTCCCATGACAAGTGCACATCACCTGCTCCTCCCAGTGCTTACTGGGTGTGTACGCCTGTGCAATATCTTTCCACATTTTTTGTTCCACTGTTTTTTGTTTTTTTTTTTCCGTCTTTTTTACCCTGTAATTAGCAGGGATGTTAATATAATTTGCTTTATTAAAACTATTAGTAGGCAATATATAGATATTTATGAAGTTGTCCGACCATCAGAGACAGGCAGTTTAATTCCTCTGGCCGAAACCTGGATCAGCCACAAACCCATGTTTACTTACACGTGCAAATCGTGTAAATAAAACATTCAGAAAACGTTCAGAAAACATGCTAATTACACAAACTGTAGTAATTAGTCACTTTTACGGTTTCATAGGGATCGAATGTTCAGTCCATGATAACCCTAATTGTACAGTTTTATTTCTCCAGATATTCATTTCATAGCCTCTTATGGTACCAAGTTATGGACGTGGTTGCGTAAATTTTAAACCAGCTAACCCAATGTTGGTGGGGGGTGTGGCCAGGTCAGATTCCTTTGTTTACGCTGAGTTATCAAGCATGTATTCTTGTTTTTCTCATTCCCAGAAAACACACCCAATGACTTGGTTTTTTTATTCATTTTCTGTGACTGACACCCAGAATATTTATGTGTTTATACGACTTCTGACAGCTACCTTTTGTTCTTTCATCTTCATTGTATTTTAAACCTTTTCTTCACTCCCATCTCCAGCTATTGACCCAATGTTAAGCTTGTACCCAACATTGGTTGGGCTTTTATTTGTTACTTATTTGTAAATAGCTAGCTGATGTCAAACAGCTATTTACTTCACTCAGCCCTGTTCATGTATTCATGTTAATCTCCAAAGCTCTTGAGTTTCTTTGCCGATTCAATGGGCAGTTCAAAATATGTTCATGTTGCAACTTTTCACTTTTCCTCCAAATTCAAAATGAATGTAAGCTGTTCCAGAAAAATTGTGTGTAAGCAAAAGATGAAGGTCACTGGTCTAGATCCATTTGGTGAAGGAAAGTTAATGAACCAGCCTGCCAGATACACAATTCTAATTGATATGCCAGATGTACATCTCAGTGATGCGGGATCTAATCTGCTTAATGTACTTTTAAGGCGATATTCGATTTTTCGATTATTTTAATTGCATATATTTTGTTGCATGTATGTTTTGTCCAGTAGCCCAGGCTGGTGCATGTTGGTTTAGCATCTGCTGAATTTCTGGCTGAATTGTCTTTCAGCGAATAAATGTTTTCACGTGCAAACAAAGCTTGTTAATTAATATTGCTAATATTTGGCCTCCATATGAATGCGGAGATGCTCAGCAGCAGTCATAGCTGGTTTTATCCTGCTTTCCCAAGCTGAGCTGGAGCGAGCTGGGAACGCTGCTTATGTTATTTAAACTTCATTTCCACTTAGTTACAGTTTTTCACATGTTTTGAGGTATTTAGTATGAGGTAATGACAACGGATGGCTGTGTTCGCGTCTATTCTCAAAAAATTCATGGGTGTATTAGAAGGTCACTGCAAATACTGGGGTAACTTCAGGAGAGTTTTTTAAGTGGTTACGCTGACAGACACACTTTGACAGACATAATGTCATAGTTTTTCACTAGCATTAAAATGCCATTTTCTTTAATTGCCCAAGACTTTTGCACAGTACTGTATATATACAATATCCATTATGTTATATATAAATAACTGTTATATGTAATTAATGAGTGTAATATGCAGCTCTGGGTAAATTTGGTCAAAAGGACTTAAATGTGATGCAACTCAGTTACACCATGTTAATAAGTCATAACTATTAAGCGGTTGTATCAAAGACCAGGGTCCCCCACGGCCTGTCGAAGAGCCTTCTTTCATTTCAATGACATAGTGTTTCCAGATTTTCACCTAGGGCATCAATTAAAATGATTATTAAAACTGTGGGATGTTGCCTTAGAATACTTCTCTTGCAGTTAAATGAAACAAGGAACTGGCTTTGCTAAATTGAAGAAATCTCCAGAAACAAAGCACAAGATGTAAACATTGTTTCTTTAGCTAACAGCGGATTTATGGCAGCACAGGTTTACAATTATTCTCAAATATCAATGAGATGAACTACATGCATTCATTTCTTTTTGCATTTGTTGCATTTCAGAAACTTTTGGGGAGGCATGCTGCAGTGTCAGGCAGTGAGCAGCAGCACGTGCCCTGACAGACTCCTGGTGCACTGCTCATCAGCACCAGACTCAGCGCTCAGGGAGGCTGCAGTGTCAGCCAGTGAGCAGTAGCACATGCCCTGACGGACTCCTGGTGCATTGCTCATCAGCACCAGACTCAGCGCTCAGGGAGGCTGCAGTGTGAGGCAGTGAGCAGTAGCACATGCCCTGATGGACTCCCGGTACACTGCTCATCAGCACCAGGCTCAGCGCTCAGGGAGACTGCAGTGTGAGGCAGTGAGCAGTAGCACATGCCCTGATGGACTCCTGGTGCACTGCTCATCAGCGCTCAAGGAGACTGCAGTGTCAAGCAGTGAGCGGTAGCACATGCCCTGACGGATTCCCGATGCACCGCTCATCAGCGCTCAGGGAGGCTGCAGTGTCAAGCAGTGAGTGGCAGCACATGCCCTGACAGACTCCTGGTACATTGCTCATCAGCGCTCTGGGAGGTTGCAGTGTTAAGCAGTGAGTGGTAGCGCATGCCCTGACAGACTACCGGTGCACTGCTCATCAGCACCAGGCTCAGTGATCAGGGAGGCTGCAGTGTCAGGCAGTGTGCAGTAGCACATGCCCTGACAGATTCCCTGTACATTGCTCATCAGCGCTCAGGGAGGCTGCAGTGTCAGGCAGTGAGCGATAGCACATGCCCTGACGGATTCCCAGCAGACTGCTCATCAGTGCCAGGCTCAGTGCTCAGGGAGGTTACAGTGTCAAGCAGTGAGCGGTAGCACATGCCCTGACTGACTCCCGGCAGTCTGCTCATCAGCGCTCAGGGAGGCTGCAGTGTCAGGCAGTGAGCGATAGCACATGCCGTGACGAACTCCCAGCACACTGCTCATCAGCGCCAGGCTTATCACTGGGCCGAGCTGCTGACTGCTGCTTTTTTGGGGCTGAGAGGGAGTGGTTGGTCCCCTCCTGTCGAGACCACGCCGCTTGGTACCTCGGAATCGGCAGAGTGCCACTGCACATATCCCAACGTTGTTTATCGAGTGGAGCGCAAATTTAAAAAAAATGTATAAATGCAAATAAAATCCCTGCATTTACACTGATGCTTTTCACTGTACTTCTGACACAAAGATGTGCTGTTTTTGTGGCAAAGCACTGCTTGGTTTAGATGAAATTACATGTTTGTTTGTTTTATTTCCACCTCCACTTGCCAATTTGCGGCCTCCTCATCCTGGCGAGGTGCATGTGACCCTCGTGTTTGACTGCTAAATTACTTTAGCCTGGTCTGAAGCCCTGCCCGCCATCTGTTTGGGAGCAGGTGAATCGCTGTAGATCTTGGAGGCAAAGCTGTTCAGCTGTCTTGGTCACCCCGTGGGACTTGTCACGATGAGAGCCCCCCCAAACCCCCCCCCCCCC